ACTTCTTAATCCTCATCTTCATCAGAAGTGTCCAACGTTAGTGAATCTGCGGGAGACAAATAAATGCCACTGCTTTTTCAAGGAAACCATGCGACATTCTGAAATGCCTACGACACATAAATCACTGCACATTAAAGAATTGAATAGACAGTTCCCGTTCCTTTTATAAAGTGCAATGAAAACTATCATTCACGATCACCAGCGGTTACGTGGAAAGTGTGATGCTAAATTTACATTTCTTTGCTCTAGCAAATGATTCCCTGTCAATACTTCCAGCTTTAATTATGTTTTACGGTACGGTTTCCCCCTTCAACACCAATATACATGCAGGGATCAGTTGTCTATCTCTTTATTACTGGACTAGCACGTCAAACAAGCGCACAGCTACTTATTTAATGTGAAGTTTCGATAGACACAGTCAGGGGGATGCAGAAGAAAAAAGAGCACAGAAAATCACAGCACTTGAACAGAGCGAAAATGCAACAATGGTATACTAAAGTCAGTGCACAAAACCATTTCCACAGGCAAAACTCTTCCTTCACTGGCGACTTCTTTCAAAAAGGCATGCTTTCTAATAAAACTGCCCTACCACACACACATTCCTTTCTTCTCTTAAAAATTTTTACATTTGTTAAAACATTTTTTCAAACATCATTAAATATTTAAGCAAACATTAGTGAGAAAAGTTCATGGCAAAGCACGAATTTTTTGGCTTTGTCACTTCACAAAATTCATCTAAAATCTTGCTGAAACAACATTATGAGATGATAAAGGCAACTTATGATAAAGGCAACTTAAGTGCCTTTACCACAATGTAGCTGAACACTCCTCTATTCTGGCTTTTCGGTGCACGGCCCACGTGCTCTACAAAATATCCGGCTCTTATTCCCTGCAAGCATCGGCACAACACACTGCAGACACCCCACATCACTGATTCAACCAATGCACAAAAACAGTTATCAATGCTGCAGCATGGCAAGGAAGGCCGGTTAACAAGCCTTGTAAATGAATCGGGCAGCAACAAGTCACAGTAAAAAACAGATGCCCAATGTCCCTCGTGTGTTGTCTGCCACCTCTGTACACCATAGACCCATCCTGTTTTCGTTAATAATTTTGCTTTCTTGGGGACAATGAGCTCTATCCTGTAAAATGTGCTATTTCCATTTACTTTATTCGAATTAAGTAGAGCTCAAAGCAAAAAAGAAATGGCTAGTGCAAATAGCTCAAATGCAGACAAAATTCTGAAAGCACTGCATTGAACTTCTATTAGCATTGTGTCGGTAAACTCTCTCATACTTCATTTCCTCAAGTGAACCACGGGTGAACATTAACTCAATTTAGGGTTTTTTGGCTGTTTCAGATCTCGATACTGGTGCATTTCTTGAAAGCAGCAAGAGTTAAGGTGAAGAAATTTAATTCAGTGCAAGACAATATACTGTTTGGTTCTTATGACATTTAACAACATTAACTCTATGTAGATAAATTCACGGGGTTGAAAATCGTGCTTGGCGACAAAGCTGCAACAAGTGACCTTAAGAATATTGTACTATGCACAACTATTCACAAAGGAATAAAAAAAAAAGAAGAAATGCACTCCACCCGTACAAGCTAAGATTTCTTGCTGCACTCGGAACCAAAAACAAGAAGCCAGTTGTGAGCAGTACCAAAAAAAGAACACAAGAAAACTATGCATACTTAAACAATAAAATGATGCATAGTTGCTATGGTGAAATAAACTGCACAAAACTGCACAAACCAAAGTCAAGTTATCGACGCACACAAGCGAAGCATCTGCCACTGCACTCAAAGTCGTACTCATTACGATGGACGGCCAAGACACTCGGCAGGGTAACTTACATTAATTTGACGACTACATGGATATGACAACTACAAGTGTTGCTGCTGATTTCAACTACAGCAACACAATCAATCGACTTGCCAATTATTCAGTTCTACACCCTTTTGTGTCTTGTCAGACCAAAAAAAAAAGTTTAGCACCCTTATTTACTACATGTATGCCTTTTTAATCCTGTGTGAAGAAAGCTTCAAATCATTGGTATGTTGTCGACAGAACTTTCAACGATGCCCTCCTTTCCCTCACATCGGCCCAAAACACGAATGGCACGTGCTCGTATGGTTGCGTATGTGGCGTCGACAGTTTGCAGCCTGCGTGAATGCGGTGGGGCACTTGGTGCACTTAAAGGGCTTCTCGCCGCTATGGAATCGAATGTGGTCTCTCATAGAGGTCTTGTGGAGAGTGGTGTACGGGCAGAGGTCGCAGATGAACAAACTCTTCGGCGTCTTCTTCTTCTCCCAAGGGGTAGGACCGCCTTCCACGGAAGCGCTTCCAAAGACCTGTTGAAACTTGCGGGGTCTGTTCCCGTCGGCCTCCATTGCCCCTTCGCGACTTTCCCTAGCAGCCCACAACCGTAGAAACGATCTGCTCTTGGGCCGAATGCCATGTCCCGATTCAACTGCAGAAAGAAAAAAAAATGTCCGTGCTATATTGGAAGAACCAAACTTTCAGGCAGATACTTAGTAAGTACGGCCATCCAAATCTTGTATGCCCAGGCAGCGACATTTCTCCGCCACACGACAGAGACAAGTTGCGAAAAGGGGGAGAGTATGCTCATGCCCTCGAAGTGCTACCAGCTGAACCCATTGTCAGCTAGGCCGCTTTTTCTATAGCTAGGCCGCTTTTTCTATAGGATGTCAACCATACTAGCACGCACGAGAAAAACGGGCCACGTAAGCAGGCAAATCTTCCAAAGTTAACCAAGCAGTAAACTATCAAGAAAATAAAACTTTAGCAACATGCCACATGCCCCCCACTCATGAGAGAAGCATGATATGGTTCATCTGGAGTGCACTAATAATAAATGATGTTTGTAAGGGGCAACAACCTAGTAGACAATGGGCTCAGCTGCACCTGCTTACCTTTCCCCTTTCGCCACTTGGCTCAGTTACACGGCGCTGACACACAGAAAAGTCGCCACTCGCCCATGCAAGTTAAAGATATGGCCAACTGTACGTTGCTCAAAGTCACTGTGGTTATTCTAACATCGAATAAAAGAAGGCTGTGTACTACTAGAACTGCCTCCTACAAATACATGCCTGCAATGTCAGCAACAAACACGCATCGTGAACTTACTTACAGCGCAACACCAGAAAAAATACAGGACAGGGAAGGAGTAAAACAGAAACAAAAGACAGCGCCGTCATTTCTTTCTATTTTACTCCTTTCCTGTCCTGTATTTTTTCTGGTGTTGCGCTGTAAGTAAGTTCACGATGGATCCTAACCAACTGGCCCAACTTACCGTCTTACTACAAGAAACACGCTGCTTGTCCCTCTCCGCCTTACTGCCCATTCTTTTCTCCTATTGAGTATTGCAGCTGTCGAACACAGCTGCAAGACATGATGGCTAACACTCTCCCACAATGCTTGGCCAAAACGTGGCAAAGCATATTTTCTGCAGGAAAGAGCGACACCGCAGGCATGCCATCAAAGGAGGCATGGCTTGAAAGAAATATTTTCTTCACTTGCAAAACTGCATGCGACACGGCTTAGTCATGGAAAAGGCTAAGCTATAAAAGCCTGTTCAAACAACATGGCAACAACACTTAGCAAACTACAACAAATTGTGTCCCAGCACTCTGTTAAAAGAGAAAAAAAAAAGACTACACTAATCAATTGATGAGCTTACAATCAACGTGTGATACACATACAAATAGTATCAGGAGGCATTTTGCACAGCAAAAGAAGCGCTTTGATACAGCAATGGAAAGTGGTAGTATCTTACAAAAAAAGCAAAATAACATGAATAAATCACACTGCATGAACTAAGAACTCAAGCAACATGCAAATGTTTCAACCAACATTTTGTGCATTATGGATAATAAATATTCAAGTAGACAGGTGTTTTGCATTTTCACTGGGAAGCTGCCACATTAAATTATACTGAAACTGAGCCCAAGGCACAACTAAGGCAGCTTTAAGTAGACAGCAAAGAACATAGCAAGGTGCTTTGTTGCCAAGCAAGTAGATGCCACAGGCAGTGGACTGGGGCAAAGTCAAGTGAATTCGGTTAATAAAACCAGCAATAGTATCCTGAAGACTCTTAGTAGTGACATTCTATTGATATGTCCTGTATTGTCAGGGTAGCAATTGATTAAACAGTGCCGGTCAATCAGACAAGGGGTGCAGGATAGGAGTGTTGCATAAGACAGCAGAGCAATACATGCCTAGAAAAGGGACAAATTTACACCTATCAAGTCATGTCATCAATAAAAATGTAGCAAAAAATCTTTCGAACTGGTTGTTGCTGAAGCCAGCATTCCAACAAGTGAACTTTCCTTCAAGGTAGGGAACAGTCACAGCCTTTAAAAGATAAGTGCTTGTCAAAGCGTTTTCTCCAGCGACAACCTGCGTTCCTAACATTTTTCATCACTTCCAAATTCCAGCTTACCTGAAAAATTTTAAAATAATTGCATAGGTAATATATGGCACCACTGTTAATCTGTATCCAAAATTGAATGTTTGGCACTGAACCACTTCTAAGTATGTTTGTGTAATGTGCATATTGAAAAGAGATCAAAGCTGCCGCTGCCAACTTAGGCACTGCTTTACATTCTGCTTGCTAGAACGAAAGCGAACACGGTCACTGCTGTTGATATGTGGGGCTTTAACGTCCCAAAACCACCAAATGATTACGAGAGACTCCATAGTGGAGGGACTACGGAAATTTTGACCACCTGGGGTTCTTTAACATGCACCCAAATCTGAGCAAAGGGGCCTACAACATTTCCGCCTCCATCAAAAATGCAGCCGCCGCAGCCGGGATTCGATCCCGCGACCTGCAGGTCAGCAGCCAAGTGCCTCGCCCAATAGACTACAGCGGCGGGCCGTGGTTGGTCACTGTTGTTAAAGATGAAAGTTAGCATAGAAATGTGGACTAAGTCTGCAGAAATGGTTCACAGGAACAAGGTAAACCACGATTTTATGCAACAATTTTATGTGACAGAAGGGGCATAGGCTCCTGGCTACTGGAGGTTCAGACTCCTTTTAACAGACCAGCACTTTCCACAAGGATTGGGTACTTTCACATCCGCTCAAAGTGAGGGAGCAAGGAATATTAAAGGTGTTTATTCTAGTGTTCTCTAGCAGGGAAGATTATTGTACGTCTGAAAATGTGTAGCCACAACATGAACACAATAATGGCTGTGTACTACTTTAAGTAGCAGTCTTTAACTTTCTTCACAAACAGAGTGGCAACTCAGCGTTTGCTGGTAACCTTTCTGCTTGTCTTATCTCAATCTGCAGTAACGCAATGGCGTCTACTTGGCCAGCTATCAGCCCTTTTCATGAACTCGCTCTCCTACTGGAGACACAGACTAATAACACATCCACGAGGCCTCTTTCAACGGGGTGGTCAATCAAGCAGTCCTAGCAGCTCATCCTCGTCGTGGGTGCAGCCGAGCACCTCGTGCACTTAAAGGGTTGTTCCCCGCTGCGAGTTTGCATGAGGTCCATGAAATCAAATGAAGCGCATGTTGCAGTAGGGCAGGAATGGCATGCGAGTGGTCCCTCCGCATTCCAGCTATGCATGTCTTTGGGCCGCTCCCTCCGAAGCCTCCCTGAGGTAAGACTTCGCCCGCCTCCTCGGGAAGGTGTGCTCAGCTGCGACTTGACCAGTGAAGCATCTATGCTGAAAGCACTGAATCTTGCTTCACCTGCAGAACCAAATATCAGTACTACAGTGAAGAAACGTTCAGCCAATCACCAAGATAAGTGCGACAGCTCCCACAAATATGCTTGCATGCTCACATCTTATAATATCCTTGCAAATTGAATACACACCTTCGTAACAGGTGTGTGAAACAATTGATGCACGAAAAGAAGACACCTAGACACAGCCAACTCAAGCTGTGTATAGGTGTCCTCCTATACACCCAGGAGTTCGTGCTTCTTAAGCATACACAATACAGCTCAACCCCTCCATAGACTCCTTCCATCAGAACTTAGGTACAAGGCCATGACGAAAACAGAGGCAAGTGAAGGAAGCTTACAAATGGTTTTGTTTACAATTTTTTTTAACACCAAGAGCTGCTTCACCAGCAGAGAAAACATCTCTCGTAGCATTTTCATTCCCCTTTTGTCATGCTGCACATTGAATATTAATTTTGAAAGCAAAGAGCAATATCACTAACGATAAAAGTCTCAATTCCAACCGCTCTAGCACTTACCCTTCAAAATCTGAATTAAAAGCATTTTATGTTTCACTTTACCACGCATAAAGCTCGAGGACTCGCACGTAAATTAAATCATTAACAAGTAGAATCGCTTAATAAAGATTTTATGAATCAACCTAGAAAACTCTTGCCTCCTTATTAAAAGAAATGTGCTTTGAACAGATATAGATTTAAACATCAAGGTGGCAGTTTTCTTCCCTCATGGCTTAGCACACTTTCAATGACAGTGAGCACTTTGCAAAAGGTTATCAAAAATTTTCTCACTTTCCCAACGCCTGCGCATTGTCAGATGTTAGTGAAATGACAGCTGCCATAGTTATGCAAGCGGGTTTTATATTAGAACACAGGGGGCCTCGTTCAACACGTACTTTAAGAGATTCTGAACTCATGTGTAGGAGGCATGACTTTACACTACATAACATCCGTGATTATAAAAACCCACTGGACATACAGTCTGTTCATTATATTTACAATATATTACTTCTGAATGATTGCTTGCAGATTATTTTTAGTGCTTTCTACAATATCGGGATGTTATTTTTGTATAACATTTGGGAGAAAAATAGCATGAAACCAATGATCACGGGGCAGAAGAAAGCTGCTTAGTACAACTAAAACAGGAGTATTCTAACTTGCAGAAAAAAAAATAACCCCAAGCAAATCTTTTTTGAAACAGAAAAAACAAATGCCTCTCCATGCTTTCGCATTATATTAACCATAGCTTGTAACATTGATGCCAGGCTCAAGCTAAAAAGGATAACCGCAGCACATTTTTATCATGCAAGGGTACTGGCATTTTTCAATACTGACAGTCCTGTAGCAGCTAGGGCAATACAAGCGATTTAAACTCATTAGTTATTAAAAAAAAGTAATGTTTGAAATAGAAATGAATAGCTGCTTCATGCAATGCCTAATCGATGTTCTATCATTACCCTCACTAGTATAAATATAGAACGTTATTAGTTATTTGAGCCGTGCCAACCTTTAGGAACAAGATTGATACAATTATGAGACTATTCGGACATGCAAAAATAGCAATTTGTCTTTCATCCACTACCACAAGAAGTGCGGTAGGATAATCACGAACACAGGGTAGCCTGCATTCAAAGACATGATTCTGAAATCGGCTGCCAATGCTTAAAATTGATTCTTAAAGAGCTATATCGATTGCAGTCCTACCATTTGGTAAATATCAGAGTATTGAATAGAACATCTGTCGAAAGTTTTATCGCAAACAGTGAACGTCAAAAAACAGGCAGTTTCGTTTTACGCCATCAATTAACAAAAAGAAGACTCATGGTTGCCACTCGAGGCAACTATGTGTCTATGTTAACTATAAAGCTGCATAGCATTTTGCAACATTGAGAACACTACTTGTTCTTGTTGATTCCCGGTATACTCAAGGCATGTACCGCACTGAAAAAATTCTGACAAGGATCTCGTCAGTGGGTGTCGGTGGGGACACGGTGCTGATGACCCTGAATTCTGCTTGGAGGCAGCCCAGCACGAATTGCACTTGAGACAGGTTTCTCTTCGCCACAAGGTCTTGCACGTGCAACACCAAGACCTTGCAATGCCAAGACCTCTGGCAAGTTTTGCATTTGTGCGTGCTTTTGGTTTCGCATGTAGTGATAATGTTGCTTTAGAGTGGGCCAATCTTGTCTGCCTTCGATGTGCCTTTAGTGTGAGGCATTGTTCACCACAGATGGAGAAAACGATCCCTACTTCACTGCTGCATGCCTGCAAGCCAAGAAGAATTAAAGAAAGAGACAGTATCATTTTGAGGGGACCAGAATTCAGTAATTGACACACTAATGACAAGTCACCACTCCATGTTCAAAGGCAACACAAGCAGAATGATATGCACAAGAGGCTGCTCGCACACAGATAAGTTTTATGCTGTCAAAAAGCTTCACGCAAGACCATCAAGAGCTTGTAATCATGTTTCATCATCACAGCGTCAGGTGAACGCATCACACGAGTCCTCACTCAGTCTCCCAACAATTTCGCATCCACTATCACAGACTGTGGCACGTTTAAAGGTGTGCAAAATACTTCATGCAACAGGCAAAAGCAAGAAAGCTAATAAAGCTTATGCAGGGGTAGAAGCAGGCTTCAGTCTTTTGGAGCAGCTCAAAGAGTACAAATAATGCAGTTTGGGAGCTGCTTTGGAAGAGTAAAAGGAGAGTTCTGAAGCAGTTTTCGAGCAATGCAAATTATGGGGTAAAATATCATTGGTAAGATAAATTTTAGTTTGCGGCTGTCATATGGACAAAGACAACGAAGTAAGAGGAGAAGCATGCGGGAAAGGCACATGTGCGTGCATAGAGCAGCACACAACTAGACGTGTGTGACACAAGCCATGAAAGAAGGCCGCATTGGCAGCTACACTCTGTCGACAGGAGCACCGAGCGTTCGGTTCCAGAGGCCACAACGCTTGCACACCACGGCTCGACCGTTAACCTGGGCAATGCTTGGGTGACGCTCCTTGGAGGGACTGCAGCCCCTTGCAGCAGTTTCAGACGCATCCACAGCATACTTGCTTCAAACGTCAGCCAGCAGCAATCCCTGGAACACCACGTCATCACATCAAGCAGAGGCCGGCATCATAATAGGCCGAATCGACGAGGGCATATTGCCACGTCACCAACAGTGAATAGTAAAAGCTTACGCCAGCGCGGCTGTCCATTATGCCGTCAGAGCGACGATTGAATAGGATTGTTGGCTACATCGGCCGTGGGCCCAACACAATGACGGTTGAGCATACAACGATCAAAGAATTCAAGTAAGAGGGTTCGATTTGGGTCGGGCTACAGCCAGAGTGCGAGGACTGAAGCGGCCAGGCTAAAGTTACGACTATAGCTGGATATAGTAAGAACCAATTACTTTAATGTCAATTTACTTTTGGGGATCCTGTTAGCAGTGTTTGTAAGTTTTTCCACTGTTGTTTATTTACTGAGCATTCAGTTTTTCCTTGGTTGTTATTTGCTGGGCTGCCCGAAGTCTATCGGCAATAGCAAGTGCCTCCGAGATCCATGACAAAACAATTGGAGAGCCTGCCAGGGTCGGGAACTGTCAGGAGCAGAAGATTCGAGGATCATTTTCTTTTCCTGCCCAAACACTTAATACTCGTGGGGTGTGTAGATGGTTGGAAATGTTAGTTTGCAGTAGCAAAGGAGGTTGGAATGACGAAAATGTGCAATAAGAGCACATTAAAGAAAAGAAACTCAAGTTTCAAAGCAAGGAAGTGCTTGGATTAAAGCTGAGCTTGGAGCAACTAAACAATGTTCCGCAAGATGACCAGAGTGTCATATCAGCATCCTCTACCTGCATATGTCTGAGGAAGTTGATGGTTCTGTTCAATGAAAGAAGTGACGACTTGGGTGCCTATTTACATAAATTTGAGCGGATTACAAGGGGTCAAGGTTGGGAAAGAGGGGAGTGGACAACAGCACTGACCCTTTGTTTGGTAGGACAAGTCAAATGTGTTGAGCTGAATGCCTGCCAATGACTCCATAGACTATGATAAGGCAAAAAAGACACCACTGCAAAAATTTATGCTGAAGGTCGAAGGTTTCCAGGAGCGATTTCGCGGCTGCAAGCCAGAGAATACAGAAACAGCAAAGCAGCTTGTGTGTCGCTTGTCAAATTATTTTGAAAGATGGATGGAGATGGCGAAAGTAGGAAGAATATATGAAGGCGTACATGACTGCATGGTCATGGAAAAACTGTTTGCTGCAGTAACAGCCTAAAAGAAAGGTAACCACACTTTATGGTGTAGCACAGCATGCCGATCAGTACTTGGAGACCTAGCAAAGACAAATGAGGGCGGTGACAAAAGAAAACTGAATGAAACAAAGTAGATCTCAGGGGATATCAAACACGTGACAGCAACCACTCAGGTGTTTTTCGTGTAACAACATTCTACACTGACTTATGAACTGTTGGGCTGGACCGTCGCATGCACAAGTAGTGTGCCAGCTGCGCTACAGAAGGTGACACTGTGCAAATGAATGTAGGTCAGGAACTACATATGAAGTAATCTGTATAGTAGACTCCCAGGGAGGTTCGATTATAGAATTTGGGATTACAAAGTAGCCTGTATCGTAGACTCGCACAGTGATAGCATGAAAGGGCCACAGGTGCAGAAAAAGAGAGTCAGAAAAGAATAAAATTCAATTTTACTCACAAAAAAAATATTTACCGGTGGTAGACAGAGAAGTGCACGAACAAAAGGTAAATGTTTTGAAAGATACAGGTACCAATACACTCAAACCTTGTTATAAGAAACACGGATATAACGAAATGAGGGTTATAACAAAGTGAATGAGAAATGGTCTTCCAATAGGTAACAGTGTTAGGAATAAGCTTTATGAATGATTTCCAGATATAGTGAACTTATTTTCTTGCAAGATGCAACTTTGCTATAATGAGGTTTGAGTGTACTGTTTCTGTGAAAAGGAGCTTAGTGGACGTATCAAATTTAGCAGGAGAGTATGCAACAGTCATTTTGGTGGATAGTACGGTGAGAAGGCTTCCACAAGCTGGGATTAAAGTTTCAAGTCTATATTATACAGGTTGAGTGACAGCGCAGTGTTTGAAGAAGTCCGTGCACGATCTGATATTGGGCGTTGTGTCGGGAATGAGAAAAGCAGATGAGCCTGATATGAACCAAGAGAGGAACAAGGATGCAGCAGGGGATCAGAATGCACGTAGTGGTAGAGTAGCAAAACAAAGAGAGTCGTAAAAAGAAGCTATGCCGCAAAAGTTTATGAGAAGTGCAGCCACAAGTAGTTGCAGTGGCATAGGCAGTAATGATGAGAGTGGCAATAAAAGGAGCAGAGGCCATGAGACCAAAGGTGGCAACCAAGAAGAATACAGACATAAGCCGTATGGAGTTCAGGGAAAAGCAGAAAGAGAATGAAACAGCAAAAAAAGTTTTTTTTTTTGGCAATGAAAAAAGACTGCTCCAAAAGTGCAGAAGATGAATAACAATTATCTGGCTACAAATAGAGAGGCACATGCAACCAGCGTTAACTGCAGCAAGGTGTGGGAGCGGGGTAGTTTGCATTCCGTGTTTTTACAGTTGAAGCACAATAAACGTAGACAACTGGGTATCCTAGCCACTTGTTGGCATCCACATCAGAACAACTGCGGAAAGGCTTCGAAGTCAGAGCCACGCGCCCAGATTTTCAGGCAGCCCTGCGTATGAATGTGGCTGCGATCACCAGTGATGTCCCGCACTACATTGAAGAATTCCTATTCAGAGACATGAAAATTCCCTATTACCGAGAATTTTTCCCTTGCAAACGATGATATTCCCACCATATTTCCCTGCTCAACAGTACTAATTTCTTCAGCACGAACCTACGCACACACATAGTATAATTACACGTATTTGACGTACTGGGCACTTTTGAAATCATGGCTGGCCCTTCCACTGCCGCACGACACAAGCATGACCTTACTAATTCATATACTTTTTGTACACTGCACATTGTGGGCTTCAAGTCAAACAGCAACAGTGAACTAGAAATAGCTTCACGTAAATATCAAATAAATCGCGAGGGCTGCAGATGAAGGCGCACTGTGACCACTAATTATCGGTCGTCGCAGGAGAATTTTACCATTTCTGAAATTCGCAGCAATATCACGGAGATTCCTTTTTTGCCTTTGGCTCAAAATGAGGCAAAAATTCTCAAAAAAAGGGAAAATTCCCTGTGCGAAACATCACTGGCGTTCCCATACTTGCATAGAATTTTACACAATGTAAAGAAGATGGGTCAGACGGCCGCGGTCTCGGTGGTGCTTTCTGCTCCCAATAAGTTGTCACAGTTACGTGCAAGGTCTAGTCCTGTAAGAAGGCTTTCTAACGAGTGTAAAATTAAGCACCGAAACGAATCCATTGATTGTGTGATGAGTGTAGTATATAACGTATCTTTCACCTGTGGTCAAAGTTACGTCAGACAGGCAGATGCCTCAATGTGCGATTACTTGAACACAACCAGAAAGTAAAAAAGGGCTCCAATGGTTTCCTGGCCATTGTTGTGCAGAATGCAAATGCATGCCGGTATTTGATAAAACAAGTGCGTTGGGTACTCCCCTAACGATTGTATTAGGCTTATCATTGAGGTAGCGGCAATAGAAAATCGAAGCTGCATCGGCAAGCCATCCATCGCACGTATTGATGTTTATAGTGCAATGAATAGAGTAATAGGGACAATGGACTTTTATAACAATCTTGTGAAGTGACCTGTGAAGGGACCAATGAATGTTTGTGGCAAGTATGTGGTGAGGTAGTAAGTAAAAAGGCATGCGAATTGACAAGATATTGCAATGGTTCAAAATGCACAGGATTTACACAAAAAGAAAAGGTTTTTTTTTTTCCAAGAAAAACAAAAGAGGAAGGGAAGGGGGCTATGTGAAGAGTAACTCCCATAATCAGAAATGCTGCTTGACTTGTATGCGACTTGCCGCCGCCTTCAAGGCGGCACAAACGGGTTTCAAACGCGCTGCATTGAAGGTGGTGGCAAGTCAAGTTCAAGTCGAGCGTTTCTGAAAACGCTCGCGTTTATTGAGTTCGCGTATATGAAGATGACGAAGTTGGGAGAGAAGCACGCGGATGAGGCACAGGCGCGTGCATGGAGCAGCACACGGCTCGACGTGCGTGACAAGAGCCGTAAACAAGGGCGGCAATGCTCGCGTGGTTGCGGGAGAAACAGGCGGCATTGGAGGCTACGCGTCCTGTCGACAGGAAGCAGCGGGCGTTCGGTTCCCGAGGCCGTGACGCTGGCACTTCGTGGCGTAGCCGTTTACCTGGACAACGCTCCTCCGAGGCGCTACAGCAGCTTGCGGCAGTCCCCCTTCGAACGTCGGCCAGCAGCAATCACCGGAACGCCACACCAGGAGGGGCCGGAATCATATTAGGCCTAACCGACGAAAGCGCCGTAAGATTATCGTTCCGACTTATGGTTTTCGGGAGAGAAGCGAGGCACGCAGTCGCGCGTCTTTTGTTTGTTAATTTTTTTCTTTTCCTCACGAACGCCTCTACCGCTAGGCGCGCGCGTGGTCATTTGATTCTAAAGCCATAGGAAGTCAAGCAAACGCTGCAAAGAGAACATGCCGGCAGCACGGCTTCGAAGCCGCGCGGCGGACCAACAGCTAAAGAAGCCGAATTCAACACCGGGGAAAGGTGTGCGGTGAACGTGCGCAAGCACCCGCGACGGCAGAACCATGAAATGCACTATCACTTTTTAGGGCCGTCAGCTTGAAACGGCGTTTACTGGGTTCGCTTCGCAAGGCTACGTGGCCCGCTAAACACGTAGTTTGGGCTGTAGTTCGCGTAGCTTGGATACGTACAACGCTAATATTACGAAACGCAACGTGCCTACCAATAAGGTTAGCGCATGACGCACGCGCAGTGGCAACACGCTCACGGAGAAATTTGCGTACTCATTGTAAAACTGTATCTTGGCAGAGAATGCCGACACTGCGCACTATGCACTTCTATAACGACAACTTACCCGACGCAAGCAGAATATCCCACACTATGGCGAAGTGTGCTGTCGGCCTAGTGGCCCTCGTGTAGACGCTGCAAACGTAAGCGTCTACGCTTCGAGGAGAAGCACACCTTTAAATGCATGCGCGTGGAGCCTGAAGTACTCCGTTTTGGTGCGACAGTCAGCAGCGCAACACTTGAATTGTGGACTGCACAAACAGCGCCGTTTTACACACGCAAACCAGCGAGCAGGCAAAGACGCATCCATGCTAACAAGCGTTTTTCTTCATTCACGGAGCCCTGAAGCTCCTCTACACGTCAGTAGGCTCGCTAAACTGCAATTGCAATTGTGATGAATTATTTGTGGCGCTAGCAGCTTTACGAAAATTATTTTTATATTTGAGAAACAAAACAATTGTAACAAAAATAATGCTAGTTTAACTAACAAAAATTACAAACAAAAAGTACTAAAAAGGCAGTAACTATGTTTTTAAATATCTTACAAAAAAAAAAAGATTACTTTTTGTTGATTTTTACTGCCTGATTTTGTATAGTAGTCATGGAGGGAAAAAAACTTTCCTTCCTTCGTGTAAAGTAGTAATCTGTGTCAAATGTACGTAAATAAAAAAATATTTACAATAGAACTAGGTGGATTTTGCAGTTTAATTTACAACATTTAGTGAGTTATAGTAAAAGTGGCATCGCTTGCGGCATTACGCAATGGCGGCCGCCTTGGTAAATGTGAAATTTGCTTATATCAACATCATACCTCGCGGAAGTTTCACGCACAATCTTGCGCTGAAATATCGAAGCTCTCCGCTTATCGCACCTCGTAGTGTTCGATGCATTAAAGCGGAGATTAGCGCCAGTTATTGCAGCGTGTTTACGTAGTCCCTTTCCCAATGTTTTCGCGTCGAATGTCGCTCTATCGTACGCGAGTGCGATGTTGGAAGGAAAGAGCTTCTCTGTACACTCGAGAGAAACAACTTTGCCGCTGCGTGCCAAACATGGTTTCACAAGTGTCACCAACTGCATGATTTGCAGACTACGTTCGTGACTTCGGCATGTGCCCGATTGTGACGCAAGGTCGAAGCGCTTTTCCGGCCAAGGGCTTCGACGTGTGACGTCCCAAAGTTCTGCATTACAGTCACTACTTTGCCAGTGTCAGCGCTTTGGACGGTGTCACAACTCCGGGCGGAACCTTGTGAATCGACGCTTCTAACACGCACTGTGTCCATCTAGATCGTACGTGCACTCGAGTAGAGTTGCACTTCAGGGCGGACCAGCCAACAACAGTAGCCTTAGCTGACCTCGTAGAGGCGCTCACACTTACGACCGCTTCGTGGAAGGCGGTTAAAGGGCGCCGCACGTTTATCAGATGTTGTCAACAAACGCAGGGCAACACCGCTTTCAGGTGTAACCTAACACCATGACACCACCGGGTTAAGCTTTGCGGTGACCTCGATAAGTCGCGCATCGGGAAGTGTGTTTGAAGTGGCGACCCATGTTAATGTAAGTGCACAGCCGCCCAAATCTTTTAACTATCGTGCGCGAGTGCCTAGGATGGATGAATTGATATGGCTGTACCCTTTAGATCGGGCGGCGGCTAACTCCGCCTAGCCGTAATACTTTGTGAACCAACAACTAGATTTATCTTTTTTTTTTCCTTAGATAGTTCAGTCAAGGACTGGTACTTTGCAGTGAAGGATTTAGTTTTCACTCGTGCCCTGATTTTAGCCACCAATCAGATAACCTCCTTCTAGTTATTTCTACCCGCTTAAAGTCTATTTTGCCCTCCCTGTCCCTAAATCACAGTGCTTTGAAGAACTTTGCACTACCATCCTGAACTATAGAGTGAAGCCCTTTACAGAACATTATCAAGTGTTCGGCAGTTTCCTCCTTCTCTCCATGCGCACTGCATACCGTGTCTACCCCTTCGTATTTGGCCGATATGTCTTGGTTCGCAATACTCCCGTCCTGGCCTCAAACAGTTGCAAACTACCCCGGGTATTATCATAGATCCTTTCCTTGGCAATTTCCTGCTTAAAAGTTCGATAGATCACTAGTGCGGACTTTTTAATCATGCCAATTCTCGACATGTTGGTCTCCGTTCCTTCACCATCTTTTTAACCCATAGTTTTTAGTGCGTCAGCACCGTACGACGGAGCCAAGTGGCAATCAGGGCCACAGTACGCGCATGCCCACGAAGCGTGCTCAGCTGGGCCCATCTAAAGTAACTGTATATGCCAACTCTAGGCCCATCGTATGCTCGACTGTTCCTTCGTGGGAACATCGCCTTGCATTGAATCGCACCAGAAAAACAGGCTGCGAGTCTTTCGAATCTTGTATTCCGAAGATCAACAAGCAACCGAGAAAATGAAATCCGCAGATACGTCGCACGCCCCCGCGCATGTGACACATACTTTTTCGTTGTGATTGAATTGTCAGTTTATGCAACTCTTTCTCGTTGTGTTTCAATTGCCCGGTGATGCGCATTTGTCTTCCAGGAAATGGGCTCTTCGATCATTTTTCTTTCATCCACTTCTTATCACATGCCATTGAGGATCTCCAGGCTAGCATGGAAAATATAGCGCACTAACAGCATAAGCTGGAAGACTGGTCACTTCGAGCCCATTGCAAACTTTTGTAGGGTACCTACTGCAAGTGCAGTTGCCAAGCACCCACTCTGCACAGCCTCATAGATTTCATAAAGTACCGAAGTACCCACTGCTTGCCGTAAGGCACATGCATCCACACCATTTGTTGATGCTTAAGCTGATGACAATGTTGAACTATGGCCGAGTCCTTTGTAATGTGTAGGCAGCTTTAAACCATGCTCAATAAACACTTTGCGTGGTGCAATGTCTGCTACAAACAATTATACACTTTGGCTTCGTACTGTTCGCATGGATGTTAACTCCTCACAAGGCATGATGCCTCTATAGGCTTTTTTTCAAAGCAGTTTCAAGCTCTGAATTCTTCATGGTGGAATACCTGGTAACCATAAACAACACCTGTGTTCAATTCCTGCTGAAACCTCATCTCTAAAGCATTGGCCCTACACTATATAAAACTCGACTGCTGGCCCGCAGGTCAAAGGATTGAACCCTGCCCGCAGCAACCCCATTTTCAATGGAGGCAAAAATGATCGAGCCAACTTACTTAGATTTAAGTGCTCGTTAAAGAACACCAGGTGGTTGAAATTTCTGGAGCCCTCTAATATGATGCCTCTCACAATCATGCCATGCTTTTGGAAAGTTTAACCCCATAACTATTACTAAAATTATGTTATATAAAATGGTAATAAAATGGTTTCCTACAGTATCACATGAGGAAGGAAGTGAAGAAAAATTGCGGTGGATTCTTTGCAAATTGATTTATGTCTAACAATTAGCAGGATAATTGGTGCATAAACTGTCCATCTCTTTGCAGGAACACAGGCAATATGGGCAACGAAGCTTGTCTGGGCGCGTCATGCTCCTCACCTGATGGAGTATCCTTTTTTTACAGCACATGAGCATATTTGGGGTGAGGGCTGTAGAAAAAAAAAATGCTTTCTGTGTAACTATACAGGGAGGAGAGATAGAGAAAACGAAGCATTAAAGAAGCTTCTTTTTTTACTTGTTTTTGAAGAAATATGCTTACGCCTTTACCAATGTGCTACAGGAATGTGTATTACAGGAAACAGCTGTAAAATAACGAAAGAAAAGTAATGGGTCAAGGGCTCACATTTTTTGTTAGGCAAGATATAATGAAGTGAACAGGCAGTGAAGCTAAAAGGGTGTAGCGCACATTATTTGTAGTTAACTGAAGTGTACTAGGTGCAGTTTAGGTAGGAGCCTATCGGGAACCAGCGCAGGAGTTTGCACAGCTGCCCTGGCGGTCAAAGCGCACACTTCTCAGCCACTCCGGCAGGCGAGAGTGGTGGCTGGTAGAGGCGGTGGGAGAGGGGGATGTAACAAAACCAAAGGGCGCTGGCAGTATTGTTCATTTAAGTGCAACAATATGTAGAAAGAGGGAGAACGTATCCATCTACGTTTTTTCATTCTTAATCACATCAACAAGAGAGGAGGCGGCATTGCATCTAAGCGGTCAGGCGGTCAGGTTCTGCTCTTGCTCTTCTGTAGTGGTGTCGGGCTGGTTTCTAAACCGAATGGCACGATTCTGCTATATTTATTCGATAGTGACGATGGCCACCAGTGAAAGCCAGGGCCAAACAGTCGAACTTAAACAGCATAATGCCGGAAATAAAACAAGACTACAAAACTGCGCGAAAAATCGACAAGAAACGGAGAAGGCACACACACAAGCGCAGACTAGCAACTGACAGTTTATTGAAAAGAAACACTTATATACCTAAAGAAAAAATATGACGTGAAAGATTAGAAGTTGGCAGTGAGATAATCAATCTCTAGTTGGTGCAAAGTCACCGAAGGCCTCGCAACACACGTGTCGCCATACTTGTGTATATAAAAAGCCTCCGCAACTTCTCTCGCTGTCCTATCCCTGTGCCGGGACAACACCCTTGTTTCGTGAAATAAAGGGGAACACTTGCAATCCCTGCAATGTAGGCACAGATTCGACGAAGGGTGGGCCTTCAGCGATGCCCGGTGATCCATTAGTCGGTTGTTCAAACATCTTCCAGTTTGCCCAATATAGCACCTACCACATGATAAGGGGATAAGATACACCGCACCAATTCCACACTCAACAAACATTTCCCGGTGTTTGACCTCACAAACATACCACTTTTTTTCTTTTCCTTCAGCTTTCCTATCCACCATTGCGCAAACTCGGCCCAACTTATTCCTGGACGAAAAAACGACATTAACACCGAATCTATGTCCCACCTTTTTCATGCGGTGGGAGAAGGCATGAAGATAAGGAATGCACGTGTAAGGCAAACGTTTATCTATCCCCGCTCTGTCATTACCGTCCCGTTTTAGTTTCTTCAATAATCTTTCACTGAGAAGACCCAGCTTTCCTTCTGGGAAGTTCGATAACCTAAGCCTAGTAAGCTGGTCATGAAAAGCCTCCGACATCTGATGCGGGCACGATTTGCACAAAGCAGATTCGAGACACGAAGTGGCGACACCATTCTTGACCAGCTTTGAGTTACAGGAATGAAAATCAAGAATGGGCTTAATCGACCTCGGCGAATACCGCCAGCACGTGTGCTCCTGCCCAATCCTAATTTTCAAATCAAGAAACTGAATGCAGCCATCTTTCAGGACCTCAAAGGTAAATTTCAAACCCCGTCCTTTCTCATTAAACATTTTCAGCACATTGACCCTGGACCTGACACAGTTGTCCATTTCAACAAACACCAGATAATCATCAACGTATCTCATTGTCTTAAGCGCTAAACTTTCTAAGCCTCCTTCGAGGTCTCGATCTATCCTCCCCAAGTATACCTCACTCAGTTTAGGGGCAACACGGGAACCTATGCACACACCCGATTTCTGCCTATACACACCACCTTTCCATTCTACCAAAGTCGAGCGAAGATACATCGACAACAGTTCCAAGAAGGACGCAACAGAAATTCCGCACTCATTTTGGAACCGTAGGGCGTCGTTGTGGTCCTGTATGCAGTCTCTCACACTTTTCATCAAGGTTTCATGCTCCAACGAGTAGAAAAGGTCCTCTACATCTATGCTAAACACTGACATAGGACCGGGGGGTACCGTCCTCAGGAACTGAACGACTTCCTCGGAATTCTTCACCCGAAAAAGGATCCTGCACTTTTAGAGATGATAGGTGCTTTTGCAGAAATGCTGATACCAAACATTGCCAAGTTCCTCGTTCTGAAACCACTACCCTAAAGGGATGGCCCTCCTTGTGTGTTTTGACGGTGAAGAAAAGGTTCAGCAAATTGCCTTTCGCACCTCGCACCGCCGCAGCCAACCCTTCAAGCTTCAGTTGTTCCAGTAAGGCGACGGCCTTTTTCTTCACCTCCCTTGGTTTTTCTTCAACCTGCTTGAGGTTCTTGTGAACAGCTTGCATGCCCTTCTCAGAAAAAGTCCTCTCATACATGAGAACGAAACTCCCTTCCTTGTCAGCAACTAATGGCCTGATGCTGCTTGAACCCATGTAATCCACCAAGGAATTCAACTTGCACTTCCTTCCAGTGCTTCCACTGAGCGTAGTCACCACACCTGCTCCTTCGGCCACGCACCTTCCCCTTTCACCTTCAGGTACCCGTTCAGCAACGGAACGTGCCACCGCCAAGATTTCTGGATATCCAAGGGTTGGCTCGAAGCAGAATTTTGGTCCCAGTCCTAGAGTCTTCAGATGAGCTTCCGGCAAAACGATGCCATCCAGAGAGATGACTTTGGCAGAGGGTTCCCGTGCTTCCTTCTTTTTCTTCTTCGGGAGCATGGGCCGCAACGTGTTCCAAAGGAATTCCGTGATACGAAACCTGGTGGCGCACCAACTAGAGATTGATTATCTCACTGCCAACTTCTAATCTTTCACGTCATATTTTTTCTTTAGGTATATAAGTGTTTCTTTTCAATAAACTGTCAGTTGCTAGTCTGCGCTTGTGTGTGTGCCTTCTCCGTTTCTTGTCGATTTTTCGCGCAGTTTTGTAGTCATGATTTACCAACTCGCCCAGCGTTCAGTACTCTTAAGTTATATTACTAGTTGTATGGGCTCTTTTCCGTGTGTTACATTTCCCATTTCTAACCCGGCAGTTTTGGTGGCACTGTATGCAGTGTGTGTGTGTCGAGCAAGAACCGCCTCGTGGTTCGTCAGGGTGGGGGCGTGCCCTGAAGATGTCCAGAAGTTGTGCGGTTGGATTGAACCTTCGCCAGGCCATGCTAAGCGCATTTGCAAGATACTAAAATCCGAGTGGTGGAGACAGGCAAGGCTGTATGAGGACTGTCTTAAGGCAACCTGCGGTGTTGTGGCAGGTAGGGCTGTGTCTGCTAGATACAGGGAATGGTGCGCCACCAGGTTTCGTATCACGGAATTCCTTTGGAACACGTTGCGGCCCATGCTCCCGAAGAAGAAAAAGAAGGAAGCACGGGAACCCTCTGCCAAAGTCATCTCTCTGGATGGCATCGTTTTGCCGGAAGCTCATCTGAAGACTCTAGGACTGGGACCAAAATTCTGCTTCGAGCCAACCCTTGGATATCCAGAAATCTTGGCGGTGGCACGTTCCGTTGCTGAACGGGTACCTGAAGGTGAAAGGGGAAGGTGCGTGGCCGAAGGAGCAGGTGTGGTGACTACGCTCAGTGGAAGCACTGGAAGGAAGTGCAAGTTGAATTCCTTGGTGGATTACATGGGTTCAAGGAGCATCAGGCCATTAGTTGCTGACAAGGAAGGGAGTTTCGTTCTCATGTATGAGAGGACTTTTTCTGAGAAGGGCATGCAAGCTGTTCACAAGAACCTCAAGCAGGTTGAAGAAAAACCAAGGGAGGTGAAGAAAAAGGCCGTCGCCTTACTGGAACAACTGAAGCTTGAAGGGTTGGCTGCGGCGGTGCGAGGTGCGAAAGGCAATTTGCTGAACCTTTTCTTCACCGTCAAAACACACAAGGAGGGCCATCCCTTTAGGGTAGTGGTTTCAGAACGAGGAACTTGGCAATGTTTGGTATCAGCATTTCTGCAAAAGCACCTATCATCTCTAAAAGTGCAGGATCCTTTTCGGGTGAAGAATTCCGAGGAAGTCGTTCAGTTCCTGAGGACGGTACCCCCCGGTCCTATGTCAGTGTTTAGCATAGATGTAGAGGACCTTTTCTACTCGTTGGAGCATGAAACCTTGATGAAAAGTGTGAGAGACTGCATACAGGACCACAACGACGCCCTACGGTTCCAAAATGAGTGCGGAATTTCTGTTGCGTCCTTCTTGGAACTGTTGTCGATGTATCTTCGCTCGACTTTGGTAGAATGGAAAGGTGGTGTGTATAGGCAGAAATCGGGTGTGTGCATAGGTTCCCGTGTTGCCCCTAAACTGAGTGAGGTATACTTGGGGAGGATAGATCGAGACCTCGAAGGAGGCTTAGAAGTTAGAAGTTTAGCGCTTAAGACAATGAGATACGTTGATGATTATCTGGTGTTTGTTGAAATGGACAACTGTGTCAGGTCCAGGGTCAATGTGCTGAAAATGTTTAATGAGAAAGGACGGGGTTTGAAATTTACCTTTGAGGTCCCGAAAGATGGCTGCAATTCAGTTTCTTGATTTGAAAATTAGGATTGGGCAGGAGCACACGTGCTGGCGGTATTCGCCGAGGTCGATTAAGCCCATTCTTGATTTTCATTCCTGTAACTCAAAGCTGGTCAAGAATGGTGTCGCCACTTCGTGTCTCGAATCTGCTTTGTGCAAATCGTGCCCGCATCAGATGTCGGAGGCTTTTCATGACCAGCTTACTAGGCTTAGGTTATCGAACTTCCCAGAAGGAAAGCTGGGTCTTCTCAGTGAAAGATTATTGAAGAAACTAAAACGGGACGGTAATGACAGAGCGGGGATAGATAAACGTTTGCCTTACACGTGCATTCCTTATCTTCATGCCTTCTCCCACCGCATGAAAAAGGTGGGACATAGATTCGGTGTTAATGTCGTTTTTTCGTCCAGGAATAAGTTGGGCCGAGTTTGCGCAATGGTGGATAGGAAAGCTGAAGGAAAAGAAAAAAAGTGGTATGTTTGTGAGGTCAAACACCGGGAAATGTTTGTTGAGTGTGGAATTGGTGCGGTGTATCTTATCCCTTATCATGTGGTAGGTGCTATATTGGGCAAACTGGAAGATGTTTGAACAACCGACTAATGGATCACCGGGCATCGCTGAAGGCCCACCCTTCGTCGAATCTGTGCCTACATTGCAGGGATTGCAAGTGTTCCCCTTTATTTCACGAAACAAGGGTGTTGTCCCGGCACAGGGATAGGACAGCGAGAGAAGTTGCGGAGGCTTTTTATATACACAAGTATGGCGACACGTGTGTTGCGAGGCCTTCGGTGACTTTGCACCAACTAGAGATTGATTATCTCACTGCCAACTTCTAATCTTTCACGTCATATTTTTTCTTTAGGTATATAAGTGTTTCTTTTCAATAAACTGTCAGTTGCTAGTCTGCGCTTGTGTGTGTGCCTTCTCCGTTTCTTGTCGATTTTTCGCGCAGTTTTGTAGTCATGATTTACCAACTCGCCCAGCGTTCAGTACTCTTAAATAAAACAAGTGTGTTATGCGGCATAAGACATATGTAATTTTTTTTATCAGGCCCGCCGAGCATTGAGTTGTGCACCTCAGGGCAAACAAAGTTTCTCTTACATCCATCTTTCTGACAACCACCATCAAACTCCATCTGATGCCACCGCGTGAAGGGAATTATACGATAGACTGCCTACCTTATTTGTAAACAGTTACGTGTAAAGGAAAGCTGCCTTGTCAACGAGCTTTGTCCAGCGCACATTCGCCTACACCTCTAAACTGTTATAAAATATACTCTTGTGGTGAATACTTGATGCCGAGATGCCTCTGTCTAAGTTAATTTGTGCTAAAGACAAAGTTCTTCTCTGTCTTCAGCGGACTACTCGAAGCTTAGCTTTCTGGAGTCGGCCAATGTGGTTAAGCTTTTTTCTCGCTGGTCACTGTGGCTAAGTAACATTTGAATTTATACCTTGCTAGAGAATTATTAAATATCTGGTATTTTTACTCATTCTTTAGTTTGCCTAACGCACAGTTTCAGTTTTTCTGCTTGCCTGTGTCAGCTTAAAGTAAAGGTGTCTGTTCAACATTGATAATTGCTAAGCTTTCATGTGCATATCTAGATATCATTTAGAGGCGTGCTGTACTGTGGGTTTGAGGATTGAGTGTGACCGCTTGGGGTTCTCCGATGCACACATATATCTTGGTTCACAGGTACTCTTAGTATTTCATGCCCATCGAAGTGCAGCCGTTGTAGTCTGGAATCTATCCCGTGCCCTCGGCATAGCAGTGTGACGCCACTCGTGCTATGCTGCCACAGTGGTTCGCTTGATCAACATCCCCGTGCATACATACCGTGGACACGGCGTACATAGGATGCCACAAAAAAAAAGCATTCACACATGTGTCACTTCCTCTGTTTTTGTTTTGTTTTACTACAGATGTTGACAGCGTTTATCGTAGCAGCACGGACTTATCAATGGGGGCATGTCAGCCTGCACTAGCTTAACGCAAGACCCAGCATGCAACCAGAAAATGAAAACGACATAGATAGTCGCCATCAAGGCAAAGCACTGTCCTTTCGATGCCATTTGCATATATGCAGTCCACTTTGCAGGGTTTTTGAGTTTTTTAGTGCTTTTTATGTGAAATTAGCCTTCGTACAAAGTTACTTTTTTTTCTAAACCACAGTGCAATATTACTGGTGCAATGGCTTTTTGAGCTGTTCTTTCCAAAATGAAGCACAGATAAGGTGCACGCACGTGCTCTCCCCACAATACATTGCGACCAGTCGTCTGGGCGCGAGTGGCCGAGTTGTGCCGCGACTCTCCGCCAGGTGCTCTTTTTCAGCGCGCCATCTATCGAGCGTTGGTCTCCCATAGTGAACCAAACAACTTACTGTCTGCAAATTTGTGTTTCATTCACTTCCTTTTTTTTTTCCACATTTGTCATGTCGTAATCACTATACTACAGGCTGCATTCAGATAAGAACGTTGGTGCATGTACGCTGACCCCTTTTCATTTTGCCAAAAAAATATTTTTTTCATTTACAAGTTCCCAGAAATACGGAACCAATTTTTGTTTTGTAAAAAAAAATTTATCTTAAAAAAATTGATAAGTGTCCACTCAGCTGCTACCGCTTCTTTTACATATTGCGAAAATGGTATTTCGGTGATATTCTGCAAAGAAAAACTATTGTGGCTGTAGGTCCGAAAAGTTTAGGCCATGCAGTAGTAGGAATAGTTTTCTTCGATAAACCATTATTACTCTGCAGTTTTTGCACTGTTCTTTCAAGCAAAAAAGTTGTGAAATCGGCACATAGCTCAATATTGCTAAACTTTTAAATTTTTCCTCCGCCCGTATAAATGATGGACTTTCCGAAACTTTTTAGAGCATTTTCAGAGATTGGGTTAACAAATTTTTTTAACTTAATTGCTCAAAATGACGTCATAACTTAAACAGAGACGTTTAACTGAGGACATGTCTCTGAAAATGCAATATTTTGAAGACGATTAAAAAAAAAGCTATCTTGGATTTTCTCCAAGCTCTTCAGAATGAAACACGAGCGCATGCCCCAACAATCTGCATAGCATGGTGCCTTATTTTCGTGAGAATGGAGTTACAAAGCACAAAAAGTGGTAAAAGTGACGTAAACCGAGTATTGCTGATTTATATTTCAAGGTGGTGCCAGTGGAATAATGAAAAAACAGTGTAGTTCTCAACGGTCCAGTCAAGCGCACAGTTTTGTGTAGAGTGTCTTCAACAGCGTTAATCGAATATGGCCCCCTGGATGACAGACACGCCACGGCAATACTGCTAAACGTCTTTGTAAGAGGCATGCTCTGGGTAGCAGTTCTTGTATCTTATATGAGATGTCTCTTATAAACAAGATACCTCGTATGCATATTCTTATCAATCCATATTTTACCGTATGCACACAGGCGTCTATTACACCCATTTGTCTCTTATATCGCAGGCTCTTATACATGTATAGGGGTTCAGCTGTATATTCCAGATTTTTCAAGCGGCGCCACAAGTTTTTTTTTTTTTTTTCATATGTTTCTGCAGTTGATTCTGCAAGAGATGTGAACATCCTTGGTTCTATTTCTTTTCTGTCTTGTACTACATGTGGCAGTGTCATATGTGCTAATCTTTCTTGTTCCACTTGTTCACTGTGTTTTCTTTCTGACTTCTACATTTTTTTGTTAACTTTGCCTGATTTTGTTTTGTCACATCTATCTTCATAGAATATTTCACTGCACAACCCAAAGTACTGGCCGCCAGCCTATTCAGGCATCAAGAGTGAGGCCTCTCCTATCTGTGCTTAGCATATTTCGATGGCTGAGAAGTCTAAAAGCCGCGGTGTGCCGAGCTCTGGCGTGCGAGCTCGAGACCATCAAAATTAGTTTTGATCTGTTCCCCTCTCTCTAAACGCACTTCTTGGCTTGTGCAGTATTAAGTTTTCTGAACTTCATATGTAGTCCATGCAAGACGGACTGTAATGCCTGTAGAAGTAAATTCATAAATTTTCACCAAGCTGTGATCAAATTGAAGTTTTGAACCTGTGTTTATATCATCGCCCACTGCTCTTACTGTGCTAACCCCTCACTCCATAGTGTAAATTTATGTGACAACATAATGCTGGTGTCTCTCTATTTGTTATGCAGACTTGTCGTCTTTTACGGCAACATGTTTGGCTTCATGGTGTTATTCAAAAGGATGGCTGGTTGCTTGTGGTCTATGTAGTTGCTTGCTGCTTGTTTCGCTGTGAGGCATCTTCTATCAGTGATGATGTTGTTGATTCAAGCTTGTCATTGCTTATATTAAAGTTAGGTCAAATTTTATTTACAACATGCTCGAAGTACAATGTTGAAGGCCACCCTAGTAAGAAAGCCCCAAGAACACAGCTTGGCAAGGCTAGAATGCCGCAATCAGGCAACAGCAGCAGTTTTCAATAAGACTTTCTTCAATGATAAGACTTCGTTATCAATGAGACTTTACAGTTGTTGCTCAATTATCCTTGTATCTCTGTGCTGGCAATAACACAGCAACGATCAAATGAAAAGTCTGCCAGGTTGAGGCTAATGTTGCGGTAAGAGATGTTGCCTTCAAAGACAGGCTGGAATCTACAACTGCTGGCCTCCTGAAATGTTTATCACCCTACCAACCTTTCAGTTCAATTTATTGGCACTTGATTGGCTCAATTCAGCTTCCGCAAGATTGACTCTGGTTTATGGAACAGATTAACTCTTTTTTCAGGTTTTGGCTACCAACCTGCTCTTCGTGTCTCCACAGAAAATGAGGGCATTTCTATTATCACTGCAAGACCGTCTATCTACTGGACTCCATGTTTGTCATTCTGTCGTGTGTTTATGATGTTGGCCTCAGATATTGTCACATTTTTCTCGTTGAGCAAATATTCAGTGGCCTTTTTACACCAATCCCGACATTCATGTACCCTTGGCATATTCTTCAAACTCGTTCACAAGGCCTTACTTTTAACTAACACATGCGTTGCAGTGTTGGGGTGTGTTGGTTGAATATGTAGAAGGCAGATTTACATTTTCTATCTATTGATAATACAAAGTCACTTACTTTGGAGTGTGAACTACATTTGTGTAAGGTTGTGTAAAATGAATGGCCTAGCCAGCATTTTTACTCTCTCATCATTTCTGAACAGCTTTAACACTGATTCTAATCATGAATTCTCGCACCTCACAACTCCAGAGCACTACAATTCTTAAGGTGGTACCCTATATATGTTGTTCAGTAAGTACATTCTCAAGTGCAAAGTTCTGAGTGCAATTTCACACTATCACAGATGTAGTTTGATAAGAGCAGAGCATTGAAATGCTTGCATACGTTTCTATAAGTTTAAGTGTGAATAACCCCATGAGTCTGAATGTTATTTCAAGTCTTTACAATACTGTAATAGATTGCATTTTGACTTGGGGCATACAACTCTACAATTAAATGTAGAGGAACACTAAAAAGCAAAATTATTTTTCACATAGTAGTAAAGTACAATTTTTTGCAATTACGAAAACCTCATTCTTACCACGGCACAACGCTTTGTTAGGGAGAAAACGCGCATAAAGAAAATGCGGGTAGTGACGCCACTGTGAGCTTCGTGCACCAAACATCATGATCTTAGAAATTTTAATGGCGTCTGCAGAGTCCTACATAGCTTCCAATCGATTAAAATGAAATACATTGTAACTTGTGGGTGCCATAGACATTGCGTACGAAGTTTAAAAAAGTTAATCGAGCCACCGAAGCGAACATACAAAAAATACATTGAAATTTTTTAGATCAGGTGCAAAGATTTTGGCATGAAATTTAAATATGAAGCTTTAACCTTGATTTTTTCTGCTAATATAAACTTATGATAGCAAAACATATGACATTAGAGTTCTAAAAATGCATTTTGTTCATCTAAACCAAGTCACTGTTCCTCTTTAGTGTCCTTTTTAAGTGTCGTGCACTTGGGATATTTTGCATGTGGCATCTTTTGCATGCGATGCACAAACAAAAGTAAAACTGTTAGAAAATGTGAAGTGCAAAACACCTGAACCACATTGTGTTTTTCAAGCAACCCTTCAATATTCCACTAAACGATGACCTCACTACTGCTTTGATCAAGTCCGTGTTGTAGGGTTACTGATTTAAAGTGTGATATGAAGCTATAGATATTTTGCCACGCTACCTGCATGATTGTAGTGCTTTGTTAAATGGATATGGCACTGTCACTTCACACTATGCCACCAAATACACATTCCATATGACTGCTGCACTGCAGCTGAGCTTGGTATATTTGAATTTTTTTTATTGTAGCTTTGTTGCGAATTGTTGATTTACTTGAGCCTACTACTTTAGATGCTCTTTTGTGTGTTTTATTGTGTACTGGATATACATACATCCATCCTTTATTTTCCAGTCTGCCAGGTTTACACTGCTAACCCTTGTTTCTCAGAAGAGGATATTAGTACCATTTGTAGAATCATCTTTTATCAAATGGCCCGGAATTTTGTTTGACTGTAGCTAAAATAAATCGAGAAAGATTAGACAAAACCAGTCAAGCAGACATCGTCATAATCCACAGTAGCAGTTAAGTGAAGAAATAGCTTTCTATTGTACAGAAAAATGATTTAGATATCCCGGTTTTTCGTAGACATTCATTTTCCAAACTTTTTTTTTCATACTGTATCAAGTGTTCTCATTCGTACAGCTGAAAGCCTATGTTAGCCTGGCTATTATTAAGCAGTTTTTGTGGTTACACGCTGTAATTGGATGTTGTGCTCAAGCATAACTATCATCGTGGATTGATTGTTTCGAAACTACAGTAGGCTCTCAGTAAATGAAACCTGAAGGGACCGGGAAAATATGTTTCATTTAACAGGAGTTCCTTTCACCGAGAGGTGAACATGAATGCAGAATACAAGTCCGAAACCAAGCATTACAGAAGCAATAGTTCCGTTTAAGCAGTAGTTCCATTTAACAGATTCCCATTTACTGAGAGTCTACTGTGCTGTGGTTATACTCTAATACATAGCTGAGTACTAATATGTAGACTTTTGAAACAATAGTGGTTGCCTTTTGCAGCTGTTTAAACATTCTGTCCATTAGCGTATTGTATTTACACAGCGGGCATATAGGTGCCCAACATCCTTGTTTCCTCTTTTCTGTGCCGTTAACATTTTTGGAAGTGTACAATAATGATGATCAGCAGGGCATTACATAAGTTTTCAGGAGAACCTACCCAGGGTTCCAGACTTCTCATTGAATGTAGTGAAAGTCGCAGTGTGTTGCAGGCCTTTTTATTTTCCCAGTTTTTCTGAATGCTGTGTTGCTTCGCTTGTCGGGTACGACTTAAGAAAGCAGGAAAAGCACTGCCCAGATGACCTAATTATAGCACTATGTGGCCTCCATGACTTAATAGTCCCACTCATGTACACAGCAATGCTCCCCCATGGTAAGGCGGTTGATCGCACTTGTTCGTGACATCAATCTAGAGTGTGCGCTTATCAGTGTGTCCTTGTGCATGTGCCTTTGAGGTGGGTACGCCACTGCCTTCTATAGTTGCACCCAATTTGAGTTCATTAAGATTTTGTGTCTATGTTACACATTTTCTGTTGACGGTCATCGTGTTTACCAATAATTTCTTTGCTCTTAAGCTAAGCAGCTGTAGCTTGTTCTTTTTTTTTTTTTTGGAATGCTCAATGTTGCTGAAGTTTGATGGTGTGCCTATATATGCAGCATTGTTATTGGGACTGTGAACTTCAATAAAATGCAGCTATCTTCATACATAGAAACCACTATCTCGTATTTATTTTCCGTACTGTTGTTCTGAAATGTTTAGGTATCCGCTGTATCTTCAAATGAATTGAGGTGGCATACAGAGCTGTTTGCACTACTCCAGAGAAGTTTTGCAAAGTATTTTGTTAGCAAAGCCTAGATACACATGTTTAATTGCTTATAAGAGCATGATACTTTCACATATTTGTAAAGTGGATCTGTGGTGATGTTTACGAGACAAACCATGCTTACTGTTCGCAGTCTTCGATCCCAAAGCCTTCTCACAGCTGTCAGCCGGAGTGGTGCATTCAAAAGCGGAGACACATCACAGCCCGCTGACCATCGACTCCGATGAAGACACTCAGGATGCACCGGAAAATTTTGGCCACTGTGGCAGCGATGAATATATCGAGGGCTCCCTAGACGGAGCAGATTTCAATGTCCCGCCCGGGCAACACAAGTGCCCCGTTTGCCTCCGTACGTACGTTAGCCCGGTGCTCTTGGAGAAGCACAAGTGTCCCGGGAAGCCGGAAAAGAGGTACACGTGTCACATATGCTTCCGCGAATTGAACCGGGAAGGCCACCTGGTGGCCCACATGCGCGTGCACACCGGCGAGAAGCCATTCAAGTGCACCATCTGCTCGCGTGCCTTCCGGCAAAAGTCCAACCTGACAGTGCACATGCGCCAGCACACGACTGGGGGGCAGTTCCAGTGCACCGTGTGCCCTAGGTCCTTCACTAGGAGGGACTATTTGCAGATGCACATTCAGCGCCACCACATGCTGTAGGGCATTCAGAGGTGTGCAGTTGGCCAAAGATAAAATGTGATCAAAAGTGTCTCGAATACTCGCGACACAATTCGGACCAACTGTGTGCATTGTATGGCACGGGTTTAGTTTGTCTGTGAGCTACAGGGCTTACTAAGGAGTTTTAGAATATAATTCAATTGATGGAGCAAGAGTAGCTAGGATTTATGACAGAGCAACCAACATAATAGTAGCTTGAAATTGACAAAGTAGTGTGACAGGATTCTGAGATAAAAAATGTGCTGGTCATGGCTCTTATGCAGAAGTGTAAACTAAGGGTTGTGCAAAAGGTGGAAGTACGACACTATCAAAAGCATAGTTGCACAACTGTAGCTCGAGCAGTGATGTTTAGGTCCAGAAAGTCCTCGAGAGCAGTAATGATCCAAATGCAGGTGGAAAGCTCTTGTATCAACTGGACGCTATCTCTCAAAGTGACGACAATCGCTTAAGATGTGATAGCTGAACAAGTTGTGCAAGAGAACGTACAATGTGCCCGATGGTGCAGGGCGCCACTATCAAACAGTTGGCATAGTCGAAATGAGGCCGACATTCCTCAGCTGCCTATAAGCTTCAGTTTGGGGCGAACCTGATCTTTCGGAATTGGCAGCAGTCTCTGGGCCATCACTCTCGAAATATTTTCAATTCATTTTTGCTCATAGTACATGAATTCACGCACTAGTCAGTCGGACATGTTAGTGAAGTTTTCACATGTGAAACTGCCAGGTATAGACACATGGAGCAAGATCCTGGCAGTGTTAAAAGAAATGCCCAGTAAAGTGTGGCAGTGAAATTTTCTGGTGAATGGCTGCAAATTCGACATCATTTTGGAACATTGTCTCCACTGCTTGTGTTTTTTTTTTGCTGTTTTTGATGTTCATCCTACTGAAATTTTTCTTGTTGATGTTCAACCATCTGTAAATCCTTAGCAGTGATGTGTTTTTTAGACAATGTCACAAACTGCAAGGTTCGAGAAGAAAACCAAGTAAAAAAGACGTAGGTCATGTCGTGCTGCCTCTGCTTTCATGTTTCATTGCAGCTTCTAAAGCACACACCTCTTTACTGACTGCTGTACATTTATAACCTGCAATTTGTTTTGCTCTGCAGGAATCGCATTTTATTTTTGGCCTACTGTCAGGTGTACAGTCAAATGGGCTTCTGATTGCTGGAATGTGCGGCAACTGTCATAGCTTAAAACGCCGTGGAAAAAAGCCATGCCATTTCATTTGCTGCCAATATATTCATCTCTTCAGCACTCATTCAAAGTTCAGCATTGAACCAAGCATGTAAGTCTTGTATTTCAAACTGACTGTTGTGAGCTATGGCCGTACTTGTGGCGTGGCTAGTGGGATGTCACAAACTGCAAGGTTCGAGAAGAAAAGCAAGTAAAAAAGATGTAGGTCATGTCGTGCTGCCTCTGCTTTCATGTTTTATTGCAGCTTCTAAAGCACACACCTCTTTACTGACTGCTGTACATTTATAACCTGCAATTTGTTTTGCTCTGCAGGGATCGCATTTTATTTTTGGGCTACTGTCAGGTGCACAGTCAAAGGGGCTTCTGATTGCTGGAATGTGCGGCAACTGTCGTAGCTTAAAACGCCGCGGAAAAAAGCCATGCCATTTCATTTGCTGCCAATATATTCATCTCTTCAGCACTCATTCAAAGTTAAGCATTGAACCAAGCATGTAAGTCTTGTATTTCAAACTGACTGTTGTGAGCTATGGCCGTACTTGTGGCGTGGCTAGTGGGCTAAGTTAACCTAGTGGGCTAAGTTAACCTAACTTCTCGAGCCGACGAAAATAGCTATTTCAGAAAAGTTACACAAACGGTGTAATTGTGATTCACTTTACAGGAATTTATTAACATGTCTATTTTTGATGAAATGCTTCTAGTCATATCTAGACACACTCATGATCACAAACGTATAGCTAAAGTCCAGAGTGATTTTGATGCTGATAGATTCTTGTATAAGTGTATGGAGAAATGTTCAATAACTTTGGTGGTGATCGCTGTTGTAAAGCTTCTGTAATAGCACAGACACTGTGTCAGTAAGTTGAGAAATATTACTGACAAGAGAAAAAAAAGTGCCATTACAGAACAATAGTGGCTATAGTGCAAGTACACTTGTGTATTGAACTTTGTTGTTTTCGCATTATTTTCCTTGCACGCCTGGGTTGAGCTTGTCACTTGTTCTCTTTCATTGTTATTTTGACGATGTTGTGTTTTAATAAAGTTGTAAGTCACTGTTGCCACAACTTCTGTGACCAGTCTGAATTCTCTAGAAATAGTGTATAGGGGAGTCTCTTATGCCCAAGGAACAAAGAACACAGTATGTTATAGCGAAAAGAAACGAAAGCTCAGTTTTTGTACATTTTTATCCAGTGCTAAAGGTCACGGTGTCCCTGAAGCATTTACCTAAGATGACTCAAAGGGAGACGCCATATGTTTTCTTCTTAATTAATGTGCTGACCCTCCCACACCATCCTTAAAGTGCATTCTGCACCCTATATGGTTTTGTGTTGCCTCCGGGATCAGAGCCATTGCAAGCTTTCGGCACACCGCCTGGCTTTTTACTGCCTTAAAAATTGCAGGCATTGCTATCTTTAGGGCAGTAAAAAGCCAGGTGGAACAAGAAACGATTTCATGCAATGACTTCATCATGTGACGTCAACAATTTTGGCGCGCAATGTAACGACGTCACTATTAGGCGCCGTGATGACGTCATCACATGATTTGCTTGCATCATTCGTGCCGACGCCGACGGCCACTTCATGTTTCACAAGAAGGCTTTCGCCTAAATAGCATCATATGGGAGTATAGAGTTTCCAGTTGAAGGTCCTGGATTCTGCGGGACTTTTCATGCGCCGTTCCGAGTCTCGCTCTGTCCTTTTTGGTAGCACGCAGCTACATGTCCCGGATTCGTTCCGGAACGCTTTGTGCGAGATAACTAACGCACGTTGAACGAAGTGCCTCACGCTGAAAAGCACGAAGATCGCACTATAGTCGCACGGACAAAGAAATGTTGTGATGGCTAGTCGTGGCTAAGAGAGGCAGTAGCCACTTCAGCTGTACTTCCGCGTGAAGTTCGACAACTCTTACGAGCACATGGGCAGCAAGAGGAAGCACTGCGAACAGCACGTAGCCAGCTGCAGAAGTGCTTCAAGGAGTCGCAACCTATAAACAACGACCTTGTCTGGAATATTTGACGGCTCACTTTTTAAGGGTACGAAGGTCCCCTCCTCCCGTCCCAGCTCCCTTCATTGGTGAGTTGGTGAAACGCGATGCTCAATCGACGATGTCCGACTCGGTGCGCCAGGATAACTAGCGAGTGAAACCCGCCTTGCTAGAAACCCGAGCGAATGTGTGTATGTTGCGGTTCATCAAACCAGGCGAACGAAGGCGCATTCGGGAAAGAGAAAGGAAGGAGGTTAGTCCTCTGGGACTATCGCGGAGCTCGGAGTCGAGTGCGCGAAGTGCCGCAAGAACCGAGAGAGACACCCGCTTACCTGAATGCGAAGGTAGCGCACTACTTTTGCATACCGCGATACGGTAAGACGTGTAGGTTTCAACTCTCCATAGGAATCCCCTGTGATTTACGACCCGCGAGTCGAACGTGAGACCTTCACGTCCGGTTAACGTCAGTTGTTAAGTGCCATCAGCTCAAGTTTGTGTATGTAGCAGTGTCCAGCGCTACTCGGCCTGTCGGCTCATTTGTCGGTTCTGGTGCGGCTAATGTCCATCTTGCTGTTCGCATTCTTACTCAACTATATTAACGACTGGTTATATAAAACATGCGCAACTGCTTGTAATCGTACGTTCCTTCAGCACCACTTCGCTCAATAAAAAAAAATTACAATAGTTACTTTCCACGAGCACGCTTCGCATAACACCGATTCCAAGGTACGTGGGATCTGCCGATTTTTTTTTTTTCACTTGTTCGTTATTAGCTAGGGGAGGTACCGTGTCCTGACCCTCTCTCTTCGAGTTAGATCGATGGCGTCGTCAACCTGGGCGACAGGTACTACCAGTGGTGGGTGTAATTCATTTTGCTTCCACCCGCGACCTGCTGAGCCATGGCTAAGCAGACAGCCGCTAGCTGCTGCGTTGGAAGGCAGCTATGCTAACCACTGTACCACCGACGCCGGCACCAGCTGCTGCGTTAGCCCACCTTTACGACAGACCCTTAATTGTCAGAACAGTCAGTGCTCGAACGTTGAAATGATCTGTCTTCGCAAAGAAAATCGGTGAAGGCCTTATTGAACTTTTTGCGTGGTAGTGGCCTATTGAATAGGCTATAGCACCGCCGCTCTTTTTTTTTTCCCCGCACGTCTATCTTGCTCTTCGCTTTCTTTCCCATATTTAGTCCCCATTTCCCTTCCCTCAGTGCAAGGTAGCAAACCGGATGCCCCAATTTCTGCTTAACCTCCCTGTCTTTCGCTTTCCCTCATTTTATCCTCTCTTTCTTCGAGTCTCTAATGTTTTTATTTCATAAGCCTTCAATGAACGCTTTCTAAACGTCGGACCAGTTTTTCGTTTTTTTTTTTATTTTACCATTAGAAACTATCGACTTAAAGGGACCTGGAAAGTGTTTTATAAAAAACCACCAGGCCGGCGAAAGCTGGAAGAGCGGTCCTTTCAGGGCCCTCTTTTTTTTTGAACACTTTGAGTACCTGCTGCAAGCACACTTGCAGGGTACCCACTACGCCATTAATCATTATGTAGTTGGCAGGCGCATCTATTATGCCACCCGGCCTACGTTATTCTTCGGCGATGCGTGGTACGCGCTGCGCACATGCAAGTAACTTTGTTGCACTTTTTTTTTTTTTTTGCGGCGACTAACGACGATAAAGAATCAAGCCAGAAGCTTTTGTAATCCCTCACAATGCCCCCACAGTGGGTTTGCGCCACAGTTAATAGGTGAACGAGATAATTTTTTTTTGTAAAGGGTTGGAGCATTCGACGACATACTCGTTGCGCGATTCGC